AATTTATTTCAATTTGATATTTGTAGGTTTATTGTGATATAAAAAACACCAATATATTTGGTTGATTCATGATTTTATGAGTAATTATTTTTGTTATTATATAATTAAATAAAAAATCATATAAAAATTATTGACCTCAATTGAGTCCATGACCCGAGTCATGGATTTGGCTGGTGAACTACAACTGATTAGCAATCAGATTTTATAATTTATTTTGATTTATTTTCTATAGAATTATTGAAGTTTCAAACAAACATCCCAGCATTGAGTTAAAGCTTAATTTTATGAGTGACTATTTATATTATCATATGATTAAATAAAAAAATAGTATAAAAAATACTTTAAACCCGATAAAGTTCATGACTCAGGTTGCGAGTTTAACATTTTAAATTTCGAAACCTAGATCAATGCAAAAATTTGTTGTCTCAATATTTTTTATTGAAATCATGTTATCTTGAAATTTATATTTAAAAACAGACCACATTTGTATTGATTGTCCAACTTATTCTTGAATCCAAGTCAATCGTTTTACATTTTACATTTGGGCATGTCCCAAACAATTTGATTTGAAATATAGGATATGTAAAGAGATGGGTCAGAAGATTTTAAAATTGAACTATTGACTAAAAAAAATTCCTCGTGATCTAGAGATTTTTTTATGTTAAAAAATTCTTTAAATGTTGCCCACGGCAAGACACAAGTCACTTATTTAGGTTTCAACAACCACTATTTCGCTAAATCTTGATTTTATTTCTTTAAATTAATTTTTTTATATATTTTTATATTATTTTGATATATTGATGTCAAAAATATTTTTTTTACACAAATATTATGTTATTGCATTTTTAAGCAAAAAACACTTTGAAAAACAATCATTACCGCACTTTTAAACACTCATTTAGTAGGGTTCTAAAGCAAATAGTATTCTCATATTTTCGTTTCATCCTTCTTCACTGTCATGACCCGAATCTTAGGTTCGATTGACAATGTAGGAGCGGTGTTGTGGGGACCCCCTATCAACACTGCTCCTTCACTAAGCCTCTTAACATACACATCATAAAACAAGTTATATAAAAATTTCATTATATTTCATAATCTTTCAAAATATTTTATTCTTCAAAATCAATAAAATTAAATAACACTTTAAAAATTCTCATCATTAAATAAATAAATAAAAATAATTCACAATGCTTATTATATTTGTCAAAATCCAAACTTAATTAAAATAATGTAATAATGAAGCATCTAAGATATCAAATCAAAACTAAAATGAAAGCCTTGTTGACTATACAAGGCATACTAATCAAAACTGAAAAAGCAAGAACACTCAACAAGTTCACCTATTAACAGAAACTAAAAACCTGAAACAATATTAAAATGAAGGGCTGAGTTCAACCAACTCGATGAAGAAATACCATTTAACATACATCTTAGATATGAATAGTTTGCTAGTCGATATATCTTGATATAAATATAAATATTAAGCATGTTAATATAAGATAGTGAAGTACATGTCAAAGATTAGATCCCGAAGAGGACCACTGTGAGAGGATCAATCACTACAAGTCGATGTCTCTCTCACTAACTAGGTATACAGAATAATATGTGTATATACACTAACTACTCTCCGTTAACATGGAGTTATTGACAAGTATATTGATATCAAGACATAATAGATACTCGTATAATTATCAAAGTAATGTATATTATATCAAATATAATTTAGTTCAACAGAATGCAAGTGCATATTCAAGAATTGATGAGTACTCAAAAAATAAAGTAACATATATAAATATTCAAAAAATTAACTAGTTGTACTCATCATATAATCAACATGTATATTTATTTATATTATATTCATGTAATATAAAAGCAAAAGATAAATGGATGCAAAACCGAAGACTACTAAAGATCGTTAGAAGAAATGTCACCAAAACCTATAACGGATATGGAAAATACTAAAAAAAAAATTAAAGCAACGTAACATAAAAGATCTAAAACTCTATGCTGAGAAATCAAAATATAAATATAAAGTCAAACTGATTCACTCGATTGATCCTTAAGATAACCCAAGGATAACCCAAGTTGATCAAACCTAATAGATCCAATTAACTTCTATTACTGAGTCAACCGATCAACCACCATTAGAAACCAACCAGTCAACCAACAACACAGACTAATTGATTGATCAAAATTTCCATAATCATGATCTGTCAATCTTTAAATATGCAGATTCCATAACATAACAATTTGTTTTTCTACAACCCATAATTCTAGACATCAAATTAGTTTATTTTAAGCCAACTAACATCCTAATACATTAATTAAATCCTTTAATCACCAAAACAATATAAAAACCATAAACACTTCTTAAATTCTTTCATAATCAATCTCTTAATAAAAATAAAAAATAAAAGAGAGAATCACTTACTTATTTTTTCAACTTTTCTTAAATCAAAACTTAAGCTAAAACCCAAATTTGCGGTATACATAGGAGAAAGTTACAATAGAGATAAAAGAACAAGAAAAAAAATTTCTGGCAACCTTTTCTTTAAGAACTCGTTTGGTAACGTTGTAGCGTCCATGTTTCCCACGGTTTCATTTTACAAGCTGTTTGATTAATTAAACAAACGTTTATTACTGTTCATGTCCTACGGTCTACTACGTTTGAAACGTAAGAAAAAGGGAAGCAGCTAGGAGCTGCTTCCTGCGCGGCAAAATATTGAATCGTGCTACTGTTCAATGAACAGTAGAGCATGACTCCACTGTTCATATGAACAATTTTTTAAAAAAAAGTTAGTGCAGTTAATTGATTTCACTCGCACTGTACGTGAACAACAATTTTTTTTTTTTGTTTTTATAAAGAATTAGTTTAAGGTAAATTAAATTTACTCGTACTGTAATCTCAATTTTATTCCTGATAACATTTTATCTAATTTTGTAGTTCTTATCGAATGAATTTTATACTTAATGGAATTGTAGATAATTTAATGGAGCAATAATTTTTGTTATATAAAGCATGATTTATTTCATGATATAATAACAATAGTTAAATTCACAGTATTTAAATTAAAAACTATCAATATTAATATATATTTTTTAAAATTATTTTATAACCTCAATTTCAAAAGTATTCTTAACCAAATACAATAAATTATTTTTTTTTCAACCTCAATTTTAACCATAGTTTTAACTAAACATTTATTTTTTAAAATTAACTTCAACTAAAAATACTTTTTATAGAATAAATTTTACTCAAATCACAACTACAACAGTTACCGCAATACCTAACACACTAAAAATACTTTAATATTTAAGTTTGGACTCAACTTTGAATTCCATGGGATAAGAATATGGGTATTACACTCTCGCACTTGAAACCATTGCCACCACATTTTTCTGACATGTCAGTCCACGTTGGACTGTGTTACCCATTCGTGTACCTGTATCTTTTAGCAATTGGGATGGTACTTATAACGTAGTTTATTTGGATTTCTTGTTGGGTTGTGATTTTGTAAAATTATTTTATTTAGGACACCGGGGATTGGCATTCATAGAAGATTGTCCATTTTACGTTTTTCATTAGGCTGATTTTAATAATTACTTATCCAAATGGATAAATTGAGAGCTCATTGTCTTGTCCGATCCGTCACTAGAGCCCCTAGTTTACCATTTTTCGATGCCTACAGCCGAGTAGTCAGCCTTTATTGTAGAGAAGTTGGTGGAAATTGTTGATGCAATTTCACTAAAACTCTTACTATGTTGCAAGGGAACCTCTCTTTCCATCTCTCCTTGTTAGCAAATTCCCTTCTGATTCTCCACGATTATTCGATGACGAAACAGCTTCCTGGCATTTTCAAGTGATTCTCAGCTTTGACTGTAAACTCTTATAATTCAGTCCCAACAATCCTATCGTGGATGCCAAGAAGTATAAGTGGCAAATTGAAAATTAAGAGGGCTGTTACAGTTATTACCAATCCCTGAATAAAAGTAAAAAATAATCACAATGGACTTTATATCAGTACTATCAAGAAAAAAATGAGGAAATGATGCAATCTAGATCATTGTGGATTGATTAACGCAGTCCCTTTTTTTTTTTTTTTACCGGTAAAAATGACAGATTCAATTAACACCAAGATTTATATGAATGAAGTTATGAGTCTTCATGGAGTCCCAGTATTGATTGTTTCAACATAGACAGTCAGATGGTCATTGTATCCATTAGCCTACCAGCAATCTTGAAAAACAGGCAAAATACTTTCCCCCATATGAGGACAGTTCACGTAGCAGAGGGAGTCGGTCAAGTTTCAATGAAAACCGACTGGTCTTCACTCTTTGTGGACCTTCCCAACTCCACACCGAAGACCATATCTTACTTTTACCAGGCCATGTTCACAGGCAGATTGCGTAGCAAATTAGTCGTTCGACATGAAGTCCCATTTAACTTGATCCATACCAGCATCGCCAGAGTTGAAATAGCATCGTAGCAATCCTAGACATATTTCCTTAGGGAGAAAACAATCAAACAAGCTCCAATCCTTTTGATCAACTTCTAAAAGAGGAGGAATCTTGTAACTCCATCCACCTATAGGGGCGGAACCAGGGGAGGGCAAGCAGGGGCCCGGCCCCTGCAAAACATTTTAAAATTTTTTATTTTTTAATATTTTTTAATTTAAATAAATAAGTTTTTTAATAATATATATTATTATATTAATTTTGGCGTTCCCTGTAAAATACACTTGGCTCCGCCCCTGCCTATATTGATCATAGCAAAATTTGACGACTCCCTTTTCCCAGAATCCACTGAATTCCTTCAAGGGCATGCTAAACCCTGCTATGTAGCTTTCCAAAAGGCGATGAAGACAACTTAGCAGTCATGGAAAAAATGGATATGCCTGTAGAGACATATTTACTATTAAAAACTTGCACTCAGAGGCTGCTGGCATCGTGTAGAAGACCCCAGCCTAGGTAATTTTTATGCATAAAACAAGATCTGGAAGCGCAAAGTTCAGCAAATATATTGCGTTAGGATAAACTGTACATAAATCAAAAAGTGTTCGACAACATTTTTATTTCATAATATGTACAGAAAATTAACATGGAAGGATATAATTCTATTAACCAAGTACCCCCCTGCTGACCTGAGGGTAATCATTTCATTACCTGCCCCTGCCATGAGCCTTACTGTATAGGTAAAGCCGTTAACTGAGCCAAACGGAATTGGCTCTTGGCATTAACATCAGCGTCACCTTAAGCAAAATCAACAATCAATTTGGCAACGCCTTTGGGATTATCCACGTGAGGAAGATGGCCAGAATCAGATACTTCTCGAATAATTGCATTGGATAGTTCAGAGTGCAATTTCTGCATTACGTTCATAAAGACGTTAGGAAGAAAAATAATAATAGTTTAACAAGGTGATAGCATTACAGGTCAATTACAGTAGTTAAACAGCTTCAAGGATTGGTAAGTTCGACAGATTAAGAGCCGAGGTAAGTACTATGATGAAACTAATAAGAACAACGACGTTTCGAGGTAGATAGACACAATGATGACCATTTCTTGTAGAAAAATAGATATGACTAAGAACTTACCACTACATGCTGGTAGCTCACAATCTGATCGTGCTGGCCACATATGATAAGGGTTTTGTGCTTTAACTGTTTAACAACAACAATACATGCAGCAACTGGTGTGTTAACATTATGCATAATCCAATAATTTCATGTCTTAAAGACTTTGATCACTACTGAATCTAATCCTCCATATCGTTTAACTGCCTAAAGTTGCACTAACATACTAACATGGTTTTTCATGAAAGTTAATCCGTCACCTACTGATGGATTGATTGACTTAATCATGGTCAAATCAAAGGAGCTTCACTCAAATATCTACAAAAAATTGATTAACTATAGATGCTATCCCTTCTCATGGTTATCATTTCAGCATTAAATCAATATGTACCAGTTTTATCTGGGAAATAACATTGTAGCCCCCACTCAACATAAAACTGACAGTTGCATCTCTCCACCATGGTAGCAAACAATGTAACCGGCCAACCTACATCATTACGGGAGAGCAAGATTTTATCTTAAACAACTTTGAGCAAGATCTACAACTTCGGCTAAAATAAAATTAATGTGAAAGAACGAAGAAATTAAGAAAGAGAAAGTCTTTGTCTGAGAAAAAACAAAAGAAGTTACATTAGTCCAGTCCAAGATTGTAAAGAATGGAATGCCATTGAAGGCCACCATATTTGCATAAAAGCGTAATGGGAGACTCTTTAAGAAAGAAACCTGATCCGAGAAAGAAAAAAAGGCCAGAAGGTTAGACTCGTATAAACCACAAAAGCCAGATGTAATATTCTCCTATCAATAATCCTGATCATGTAAGATGAGTGTCGGCAGTGTATTACACACAAGGGCAGATCGTTAGTCATACCCCAGCATAGGCTACCAATTCTGGTAACTTCGCAAGATCTCCCGTGCCTTCAGCATACACACTTGGGTTGATCAAAACCAGCTTTTCAACCTGTAAAATATATAGAGATCACTCAATTATAAACCAAAAGAAAGTCCCTGAAGTAACTTCCATCCATAAACTAGAATATGAGCAAAAGCAAGATGCTTTTGCTTCCAAGCAGTATCTACCCTTACACTAGAGTGTAAGGGTAGGGATTATTGCTTCCATGCAATATCTAGGCTGAAGAATGCCGCGATGGCAGCTGTGCATGAGGACAACACCTTTTCTTTTTTATGTGGATAAACAAGAAGGTACAAGGCTGAGCATTTTGACCTTCTATCAGTTATCTTGAAATTTTCAGAGAATCTTTTTACTTGGATTCGGAAAGGTTAGTTTGCATCTCGTAACCTGCTGCTTGCTAATGCTTTTCTTTTTCTGCTAACCTACACCACTATCATGCACGTCACAAGTTACAGACGCTATAATCTTCTCTCTGCAACTTAAGGAAATGATTTCTTTTAGATTTAATGATCAGAATCAATCATATTGGTCTATGTCAGGAGAATAATATAAATTATATTATAAAACTTCACCTAACAGCTTAAACTATTGAATTAAGATGGTTTTTATATATGGTATCAGAGCCTTGATAACCAAGCGGTCATGAGTTTGAATCTCACTATTCCTATTTATTTGATAAAAATTAAGCATAAAGTAAAGTGGATCTATATAAGTTTCAAGTTTAAAGGGCTTTTATTTGTAGGGGTGTGTTAGAAAATAATATAAATTATATTCTGATACCTCATTTAATAGCTTAAGCTATTAGGTTGATGTGAGAATATGTTAAAGAATAATATAAATCATATTCTAAGAGAATAATATAAATTATATTCTCAGATCTCATCTAATAGTTTAAGTTATTAAGTTGAAATGATTCTTTACAATCTCAAATGATAGGAAGACTTGTTAAGTCCTTTTGTATCAATATAAACATGTCTAATGAATTCTTCCCCATCAAAATTTTCTTGGATCCACAAATCGTATTTTTCCAGACTCTTCAACTGATATCAGCTTTTGATTTTAGTTGCAAGCATGATCAATTAACATGAATAAAGAATATAACTTTAGATACATTGCCAATAAGGTAATATAACTATTATATAGATTAGATGAATATCCAATCATCGCACAAATTGGCTCAAATTGTTCCAGCCATGGAAAGACTGCAATGTTAAGCTCATATTCACAAGACAAGTAGAATTAGTGGAAATGAGATTCATTTAAAGCACAGAATACGATGTAACCAAGTGATTGAAACAACTCTTCCACGTTTTGAGAGCCAGAGAATTCAAGAACAAACCTGATAAAGGTGATGACGCTTGGATGCTACGTCACATGGTGACCGAGTTTCTATTACATATAGCAACAGTAATCACATTTAACAACATGCTGAAAGAAATTAAGAAACAAAAAGTGCCGAACTTAATACTTTTTACATGAGGGCTGGGTTGTTTAGACCTAACCTAAATCAGAAAAGCCCCACCCAAGAACATCAACAGCCCAAGCTTCCAAACCAGCCTCCTCAAGCAAGGGATACGTGCATCTCCATTCTAAACAAGAACTATGTAATCCAAAACAGCAAACCAACTTAATTGTTAAAAAATATAAATATAACTACAGCTTCCCGCGCATGCACGAACGAGCACACACAGATAACAGCAGGGAAAAAAAATACAGTAATTATTGTGAGCATTAATGTAGGGTAACTTTGCATGAATATCAAACCTGTCAAAGCAATGAAGAAGAACCACTGGACTGGTTTTGTTACTTTGTCTCAGTGGTTTAACACAACTGCTCATGATACAACTTTCTGACTTTCCTATCTGCAATTACGACACACAACAAGCCTCACAAGTCAGAATGAGAGGCCACTTTAATTTTTTTCTTTTTTTTGGAACACTATAATTAAAGATGCTTGAAAAATAAAGAGAAAAGGAAAGAAAGAAAAATAGGTCACTGTAGCCATGTGGTACTTGTGTCGCCACATGCTGCCTTGGAAGACAACCTTTGGTAAGAAAATTCTAATATCACCAAGAAGATCATCAGTGGCGCTTAGAGAAAGTTGCATGTGCCTCTCTACAGTGGATTTTCTCACACATCAACTATATATTTTTTTAGTCCTCATTTTTTTATATCTTTTTAATTTTTTAATTTAATCATTGATTTTTTTTATAATTTTTCAATTTAGTCTTAAATTTTATCTCACTCGATCCATTAAAAGTCCAACTAAAAAGAAAAAAAAGAAAGAGAAAAGAAGAGACAAGTGACTAAACTAAGTTAGCTTATTATGATTGTGTTCATAACCTGAGTTGTGAAGTAGTAAGTTAACCTGAGTTAACTAGAATTGATCTAATATGTCACTATCTTTTTATTTTGCTACATAATTTTTTTTTAATTTTATTATTCAAAGGTTTCTCATTTTACTTTTAAGCCTGATCGAATTAGGTAAAAGTCAAAATGATAGCTACTTAAAATGTTTTAAGAAGCAAGATTAGATTTTGAATTGGGTAACCAAGTTGTGTTTAGGCTTGCTTAGTCAATAAGTCATGTTGAGCGAACTCAAACATAGTTGGATTTAAAACTTAGGCCATGCAAAGGATCGTGATAGAGGGCATAGCCAAATTAGCAAAAAACAAAACAAAAATGATAACAAGTTATTTTTTTATTCAATTTTTATTTTATCTTTCTTAAAAAAATCAACATTTAAGGCAACAATAGTAAATGGATCAAATTAAAAGAAGAAGAAGAAGAAGATAACGATAACTTGAAAAAAACTCTTTTTTTCAAAAAAAAAACAATATAGCTCAATTCTTAGTCAATTAAATATGAAATGATGGAATTGGATAAAAAGGATAAAAAAACCTGAACTGAGTCGAACCAAGTCAAACTAAGTTAGCATGATAAATATGTTTCTTGGATAAAAAAAAACAAATCAACTTGGGTTAACCTGTTAAATCTGCAATGAAGGTCATGAAATCAAGATAACCTAATAGAAAACAAAACAAAAAAAAACCACAAAACCTATTAAAAAAACCAATGATAAATGATGAAATAGAAAAGAAAAATAAGTAAAAAAAAATATTAACTCGTATTAACTTTTCAAATCAATGACATGAGTCATTAGATTAGAAACATCATATCTGAAAAAATCATGAAGCCTAATTTCTAACCAATCAAATGTTAAAGAATGAAATTAAAAAAAAATTACCATCCAAAATAAAAATAGCAATTCAAACAATGAGGTTCAAAATTGAAATAAAAATAAATTAGATGACAACTATAATTTTTTTATCGAAAAGTAAAATAAAAAAGAAAAATTAATTTAACAAAACAACAAAGAAAAACTAAAAGAATAAGGAACAAATTAGAAAAAAAATAATATATCATAAATTAAAATTGAATGATTTTTACAAGAAAGTCAAGAACAACATTAAAAATAAAAAGAATAAAGATTGAAATTGAAATATCAATTACTAGAAGATAGCTATGAGATTTTTACCAGTCAACATAAATTTTAAAGGAATGAGATAGAAAAGAGGGGAGGAAAGAAGTTTTATTGATGATAAATTGACCCGTTGCTACCAGGTGTTGCTCTACTAAAAAAATCTCAAGATGATTCCAACAATATAGCTTAATGTGATTTTTTATCATTGAAAGGCATTGTATATGCTGTCAAAAAACCACGGGGACATCCTACTTGCCAATCACTTTTTTATTTTAATAATATTTTATATTTATAAAAAGAATAAATTATCTATTTGACTTGATAATATATATATAACAAAAAAAAGCTATAATGAAAAAATAAAACGTGCCTAGACACAAATTTTAAAAATTGCTTTTAAGCTTAATTAAGTAACTTCATTATGATTAAAAAAGTGAAGTGAATAATAAAATGTATGAATGGTCACAACGTTTTTGCCTTCCGTTTTAACTTTTTATTATATATAGAAAAACAAAAATATAATGCTAATAACTTTTAATAAAGATCCACGGCACTCCTTAATTAAAAAAAAAAGTGATTTAAAAAAATAACAATATAGTTTGAACCTTTACTTCAAAGTAGTGAATTAGTACAAAAAAAGTGATTTTTATAATGTCACCCTATAAATTTATAATATAATTATAGAATATTCTACAATGTGTTGGAAAACTACTCACGCCTTTCACTTTCCCATCTTTAATATATTATATTATTATATTATAAATATAATATAATTATATTATATTATATACTAAAAATTAAATGAAATGTTAAATTGTTTTTTTTTAATTTTTTTTGTTTTTTCTTTTAATGAATTTTTTTGTTTAATCCCGAGTTTGATGGATTAGCCTGATTTGATGAGTTAACCCAGATTTTTTAATTAATTTTTTTATTTAGTTTAGTTTATTAATGTTAAATTTCTTTATATTTAACTGTCAGACTTTCATGACATGTATCTCGGACTTTTTCTTTTAATGAATTTTTTTGTTTAATCCCGAGTTTGATGGATTAGCCTGATTTGATGAGTTAACCCAGATTTTTTAATTAATTTTTTTATTTAGTTTAGTTTATTAATGTTAAATTTCTTTATATTTAACTGTCAGACTTTCATGACATGTATCTCGGACTTGATGGGTTAACTTAGTTTGATAGGTTAACCCAATTAATTTGGGTAAACCCGTTAGTTATTTTATTTTATTTAGTTATCAAACTTTCATGATGCAAATCCCACGTTTGACGAGTTAACCTGGTTTAAAAGGTTAACCTAGTTAATTCAATTTTTTTTTCTTTTTTTTCTTTAGTTTTTTTCTTCATATTGGTTTTTTTTAATTAATCTATTTAATTATCATACTTTTATGACACAACCTTATAGTCACACCCACATCTAATGCTCCAAGGTCGGATGTTGTAGTCAGGCTCACTTAAACTTAAGTCATGTAAGTTTAATGTTATTATTAATATTATAAATAGTATTCTTGGATCAAGCATTGCAGCTAGACCCAAGACTTTTGGGTATATCTTTACAGAAAAATATAACACTCTTAGATCTTAGCTTTTTATATATTTTTTATGCAAGAAAAAAAAATAACCCATAGCGTATGCCTTTGGTTTTTTTTTTAAGCTTTTTACTGTGAATAGTAACGGTGCAATCCACAGTGAAAAAGTTTATACCTTTAGTTTATTTTTTTATCTATAGTTTTTTAATATTAAATTTTTTTTGTTTAATTATCAGGCTTTCATGACACGGATCCCAGATTTGATGGTTTAACCCAGTTAATTCAGATTTTTTTTCATTAGTTTTTTTCTACATGTAGGTATTTTTCTCTTTGCTTTTTCCTTTTTAATTAATTTTTAAAAAAAAAATTTAGTTCATTAATATTAATTTTTTCTATTTATTTATCACACTTTCATGACACGAATCTTAAGTTTGACGGGTTAACCTGATTTGACGAGCTAAACTAATTGATTCTGATTTTTTTCCTTTTTTCTCATTAGTTTTTTTCTTTTTGTTGGTTTTTTTAATTAATATATTTAATTATCATACTTTAATGATACGACCTTGCAGCCAAACCTACATTTAATGCTATTGGGTCTAGTATTGCAGCCAAACTCACTTAAACTTTGATCATACAAGTTTATGTTATTATTAATATTATAAATGTTACTCTTAGGTTAAACATTGCATCCAAACCCAAGACTCTTGGGTGTAGTTTTGTAGAAAAATCTAATACTTTTAAATCTTAATTTTTTTGATATTTTTTATGCAAAACAAATTGACCTACGACATCATTCGGGTCATGTAATTAATAATAATTAAAATATGTAAAAACACTAGTTTGTCTGAAGAGCATTAAATTTGCATAGCTAACACTAGATGCCCAATGGTGGACTACCTGGTGCAGAACTGTATAGCATTATAAAAAAAATATTTATTTATTATTTAATAATACAATAATAATTTTTTTTATTTAATAAATATATATTACAGAAAACTCTCTGATTTTTATTATTTAATCATATGGCAATATTTTTTTATGAAAAAGAATAATAATTTAAATTACATTGAAGTAAACTAATTTACAAATACTATTCCTCCTTTTCTTATTAATATTTTTTCCCATTTAAACATGACTTTTTTCTTCTACATTTTTTATTGAAAAAAATAAAAAGTAATAACAATATATATATATATATATGAAATAAGGATAAAAAATATCTCTAATTAAATTTTTTGTCCTGTTAACGCGCTTTATTTTTCAAATTTTTTTTCTAAAATATTGTTTTTTAGACAACATATTATCATAATTATAAAACCAAGTTTTAGTTTAAAAAAATGATATTTTAATAATTTTATCATAATAAATTAAAAAATACACCACTTGCGCATTATCATAAGAAACTTTCTTAGCTGCCTTATTAAACTAGGCCTAATGGATCAACCCAGAGACCTTTTAGCTCCTTATCGAGCTCAAGTTTAAAATCAAATCAAGTGGGAGTTATCTTAACTTGACTTGCTCAAGCTGACAAACTTAAATACGACTTAGTCATAACTCAATATTGACTTAAACAAAATTTTGAGATTTTTTTATTTTTAATATAGAGATAAAATGTTATAGATTGACCTGAGTCAATTCAAGATCACTCGTCAAACTATGATTTGGGTCCTAAACACGATCAAGTTCAATAACTTTGTTTTTTAAAAGTTATTTTTTATTGAATAATATAATAATAAAAATAAACATGCTTAGAAAGGTAGAATAAAATTTAAGAGAAAAAAATCATGAAAGATTGTACAAAAAAAATTGTTTGCTAACCTTATAAAAACAATGTCATAACCTTATTCAAAAACCAAGTAAAAATAAAATGGTATATAATAAATCAATATTCTTAATATAATTTTTTATCATTTAATTTTGATGAAATATATTTAAAATACAAGGGAAAAAAAGGACATAAAAGGCCTAAAAAAATAGGCCTAAATGAGTCGGCATGGCTGACCTATCCTTTTTCTTTTTCCAAAAATGGCGAATGAATTTTTTTTGCCTCCTGAGACAAAAAAACACAAATTACATAATAAATTATTTGGAGTGTCAGATGATACAAGATGATACAACGTATACTAGTATAATTATCGGTAGCTTGAGATGGTTGAAAAGTCAAGCTTCGATCCTTTAACCCAAAAATATGTTTTTAACCGTTTTTCTCACCTATAAACGCCTAAGAAACACCTTAAAAACCTCAATAAACAAATATCTAACCTCAAATCAACCTTTAATCGATTAAAAACTAAAACAATCACATGGATTTAGAAACAAATTTCAAGTTCCAATCTACTTTTTATGACAAGGTGAAGGGTCAAAAACATCTTTATGAAACTTCTTTCATCAAATAGGATTCATCACAATAAATTTTTTTTTTTCGGATCGAGCTAACTGGCTATTTTCTCTCTCCTCCACCGTTTCAAACTCAGGTACTAAAACATTAACAAAATTAAGTTTTAGATAAAAAAAATTATAAAACTAAATGGAGCAAAATGAATAAATAAAAAACTATAGGGACTAATTTTTAAAAATCCATGCTTCATGTGTAGTAAAAAAATAATATAAGATTGTTGTTTTGTTTCATTGTTCATTTTGATCCTCAAAATTTCAATTATTATTTAACAATAAAATTGAATTATATTATCAAATCGAGCATCAACCTAACATTAGATTTTAAAAAAAACCCTGAGACCCCAAAAGAAGTTAACCAAAAAATCATTAGCTTCAAATCCTGATAAACACACTATTTAATGATGAAATTGAAAAAAAATGATCAAATTAGAAAATTATTTGTGGACTAATAAAAAAGAGGAAACACTAATTGGAATTCATGATATTACTTCTCACAATGTATAATGTTTTCAAAAGGCCTCTTAGTTATGACTAGTTGAGTGACGTGCGCTTCGTCATGGGTCAAATAAAAAAAATCTTGACAAAAAAAATAATGTTCAATCAACATAAATGCATTTAAAAAAAAGGAAAAAAAAATCAATGTCAAGTGAGAAATTCCAAATCGAATGATGAAATCAAAAGAAAAAATAAACTCAAACAAAATGATGACAATCTATATTAATCTATTATGCCTTTGACCTGAGTCATATGGTCAGAATCATCAAATCTAAAAAAACCTTAAAATCCAATTTTCAACTAATCAAATGTTAAAAGATGAAATTGAAAAAAAAAATCAATTATACAAAAGGATAAAAAAAACAATTATAAGCAAAAAATAAAAGGTCAAACCCACTCAAGTCAACTCGTCTAATTCACGGATCAGGTTATGAGATCAAGATAATCTGATAGAAAGGAAAAGAAAGAAAATCATGAAACTCAATTTTTTTGAAAATAAAACAATGATTAACTTATAAAACTCGTGACTCGAGCTATTTGATCAAAAGCATAAAACTTGAAAAAACCATTAAGCCTAATTTTTTTAAAAAATCAAGTGTCAAATGATGAAATTAAAAAAAATTAATTATGCAAAATAATTCAAAAAATAAAATTTAAAAGAATAAGGATTAAATTTGAATAAATAAATGAGAGGATGGATAATTTTGAATTGAAGGGTTAAATTAAAAATAAAAATCATAAATAAATGAGATGATGAGTAATTTTGCATTGAAGGGTTAAATTGAAAAGAAAAATTAATTTTATAAAAAAATTTAAAAAATCATCAAAAGAATAAGGACTAAATTAAAATAATAACAAATCAAATTTTTTTTAAGCAAAGTATAAAATTAAAAATAATTAAAAGTTTACAAAAAGGACAATAAAAAATTAAGAAACAAAAAGAATATATCATGACCAAAAGTGAAAAAAATAATAAATAATAAATTTTGATTGAAAGATAAAATAAAAAAATAAAAAAACTTATTAAAAACCAAAAATAAAAATTACAAATAAAAAAATAAAAATCAACACTTAAATACGAAAAATCTAAAATTCTAAATGGCCAATATAAATTTCAAGAGATGAGAAAGTAACAAAAAATGTAACTTGTGAAATCCGTCGCAAACCAATCAATACATGCCACCTCTAGAGAAAGAACTGGACATAATGGAAAGAAGTTTTTCACGGCAGGAGTCAATCACACGTATTGCTTGAAGGTGGCAAAATAATATAATTAACCCGTACGTAGATGTTAGCAGCTTATTTGTTATTTATTTATTTTATTTATCAAGTTATTATATTGCTTCGAAGACCACATAATTACTAAAAAAACCTTTATAAGATTATGTAAAAGCTTTCGAAATCATGCCTTGAGAATTTTGATTCCAAGAGTAATTCAGTTATTATATTATGCTCGAGAAAGTAAAAATTCAAAAATACCTCTAAATCATAAATAAATGTTTTATTTTTGTTTTTAAAAACATTTAAATAGTTTTACTGTGAAAAAAAAAGGTGCTCTTTAACAACTATCAGTTCATCCTCTTTTCTTTTCTTGTCAGGGAAAAGACATGAATTTAGTGTTCTAATACACGTTGAATCAGATCTTTGCTACAATGTTTTTGCCACACCGTTAAGATTCTTTTTTTTTATAATTATAATGCAACCATGGTCGAATATGGTTAATTATAACAATGTTAATAACTATTACGAAGAAATGAAAATAATTAAATAACATAATAAAAATCTTAAATAAACAGTATGCATAGCCACACAGATAAATATTGCTGCAAATTGAACAAGAAAACTTTGATGAAGATGACTAACCTGCACAGGTAACCTCTTCATTCTTTTAGACAGAGATCTAGCAAATGGGTCTTTGATTTTCTCTACCTCTTTTGGAAGGAATGAAGGAAACTCAGCATCACCAGCTCCATCAACAGCAAAAACTTTAACTTTACTAGCCTTCAAACTTCCATAGTTCTTGGTCACATTGATTCCCATTACTGGTAGAGACCCAAGCTTAAGAGCGGTGTTCATGATGTAAACTCTTGAAAGCTAAAACAAATGCTCGAAAATTAAAACCCAGAAGTTATTTCTTCAAACTTCGAAATGGAAGGAGACAGGCGGAAACAGAAAAGGGGAGGGAGACGACAAACCGGGAGACCCACGCTTACTGTATGACATAGCTGCGCTCATTACTTGGGACGTGTCTTAAACGGACACCCAAAAAGAAAGCTAACGTGGGAGGTTTCTTTAACGACGGTAAATGGAGTTTAAGGAAATGTTTTTTTATTAAAGTGTTTTTTTATTTAGAAAATATTAAATTGATATTTTTTAATGGTTTTGATGTTAAAGAAATTAGTTTAATTTATTTTTAATTAAAAAATATTTTAAAAAACACATTGCTCTAAATTATTAAACACATGGATTTGGAGTATAGTTTGAGTTGGGTTTTGTTTTAAATTAATTTAAAAATTAATTCAATTAAGTTTGTATAACTTGATTAAATTTGATTAATTTGATTAACCTACTTCAACTTAGGTAAACAAACTAGTGAACTTCTGGATTTTTAATTTTTTTAAAACAATTTAATTTTAATCATAAAAAATAACATTTTTTTAAAGTTGATTCTTTGATTTACATCCTACCCAAGTTTTATACCGGATTTGACAATTATTTCTCAAACTAATTTTATATGGGGAGAGTAATAAGTACCGCTGCCTCTATTAATTTCTCTCTAGATGGTAAATTTCATAATTACCGTTTGAGATTTTAATTTTTAACTCAGTACTTGTTCGTCTTTGTCTATCAAGTGTCTTCGTTGCTTTAATCATTTTCATTAAATAAATGAGAAAAATATTTAAACAATTAATTATCTTTCCTCTTTGAGAATATTTTTTAATTTTTTTACAATATCCTCTTGGTAAATTGGAATGCAAATGGAGGGAGGAATTTTCAGACAAAAAAACAAGAGAAAGAAGCATGGGATTATTATGGTACGTGAAAAGATTGTGTCTCATCTAGATGGAGAGAAATTATCTTATAGATCTAATTTAATATCTCAAAATTTGCATTTACTATAATTGATGATTACTTTAAAATAATTTAACATAATGTAAGATTAGAAAAAATTAAAGGACAAAAGCCAAAGAACTAAAGAAAAGAAGGTTGAAAATGCAATTACTAACTTAAGTAGATCAAGTATGATAGATTTGTATGATCAAGTAAGTGAAGTGGGATTTTATTTTTATTTTTTTAATGGAAAATGAGATTTTATCAAGCAACTATTTAGCTATTAAAAGGATGACTAAATTGGAGAAGAAAACAAATAAAGATAAAACTAAAAAGACTTATAATCTAAATATGAACTAAGCAAATTTAACTAGCTCATATATTAGTTATTAAAAACAAACAAATCAAGTAAAATATAAATATATGGAAAAAAACCATAATTATGCAATTAAATCATTTTATTTATGGACTTTTGACCTCGTGATCCACTACATAGCAACTTATTCTATAAATATGTGTAAAATCCAAACAAAAAAACATAAGACATGCATTAGGGATATTATTGAAATCAAAGGAAGTAAGATAATGACCGAGGATGTAGTATGACAAGTTTTGCATTGTCATGTTTGTGATGCGACAAGAGAAAGGGAGAGATGTGCTCTCCTATTTCAATAGTAAACATATCATTTTTATTTTCTCAAACCTAAGAGAGCTAAACACCATTCTACAAACTAACAATAGCCAACTATATATTCCAAGGACAAATTATGGAGTATTAGAACTTAAATTTGATAGCATTGTTAGAAGGAAAATCAAATATAAATTGTGAGGTTAAAAAAGAAAGAGAGAAGGTAAAGGAAAAAGGGCTAAAGTTTAAGCTGGGTGATTATACTAATAACTACACATAAGTTTTTTTTGTTTTAGATGTTTTTATCTATAAAGATTTTCCTTAAATGCTTGCTGATTTTCTAGAATTTATACATAGATCCTAAACTAAAGTTTAAATAAAAACTTCAAATTATAATTAATAGCTAAAAGTATGTTTATGAAAGATTGAATCATGACTTGTTATATTAAAGTAAAAGATGTGTTTGCGAAATTTTTTGTTTTTATAATAGCACATGATATTTGAAAAAAGAAAAGCTTACTTCATATGAAATTGTGGCCTAAATTGTCATACATGTTACACAATCTAAACGTCATGTCAATAAGATATTTGGACTAAATGTCAAAAACTTCCAAAAATTTTTATATTTATTGATTTAAATTGTCATTCATTAAGTTATATTCATTAATAGGTGATACATTATTTTCAAAGGATCAAAGTGAAAATAAAAAAAGGCTCATAATGATATGTTACCAGCTGAATTGACTTTGAAGTCCTAGTTTAAATTACAATTTAAGTTGTGTTGTTATATATATTTTTTATAGGTTAGTTTTGTATGGGTATGGAGAGTCTCTTAATGTCTTTTTTGTCTTCTCATCAGAGTTATTTCAAAAAGACTTGCCATGGTAAGGAAGAAGGGGGAACAAGCACACTTGAAGAGTGCAATACACCGAAGGGTTGTATGCTGTGTTTGGAAAGGATGAATCGCTCCCAAAAAGAAATCCATTGATTCTCTTCTAATTGGTTGGACTGTTATAGGTTATTACTCTTGTAAATATATCATGTATAAATATTTTTAATAGATAATTGATGAATAGGAGTATAAAGATATTCAATATATAAAAATGAATAAGATGAGACAACATGATATTATATAAGTTTATCTAATGGAAAATAGGTTGTACTAGTTAGGTGGCCTGCGCTATACCGCGTGCTCACCTTTTATTTTCATAAAAAATATCATCAAAATCTAAGATCCAAGACAATTAGGTCTAGGTACAGGATCAATCAATGTTGGGTCCAAACATCAGAACCCATTAGCCTTATGATCTTACGCTAAACTTAAAAGAATGGGTCCTAGCGCAGCTCCCAAGAGAATTGGATCCTGGTTATGAACCCATTAGCTTTGGATCTGATAAAGAAAGATTGGGTATGGCATCCAAATTCGAGAAAATTAGGTCTTACGTTGGACCCATTAGAATCCATGGCGAAGGGATATGTTGCAAGACCCATGGCAAATGTGTTCATTGTAGAACCCAACTCTGATGGATTCGGATCCATGTCCAGCTTGTCCCACTTCTAGATCCAAAACTAATGGGTCTTGCAGCAGAACCCATTCAAATTTATTAATTATTACAATAACAATATAAAAAAATAGTAACATTATAATATAATAATAATTATTATTATTATCATATTAATAATATTTAATTTGTCTGTCCAAGTTCTTATATTTTTTAATCTTTTTAAAAAAAATTTATGGTTTTTATTTGATAGTAATAATAGTTTTTTTTAAAAAAATAGTAATAGTAGTAATAATTACCCTTCAAATGAAATCATCAATAATATTTCTTTCGAATTTATTAATAATTTTAATTATTATAAAAATAATATTAATAATAATTGATTTTAATCTTTAAATTACATCTATGTTTTTTTTTAGTGGGCAAAGTCCAAGGTAGCGACGATCCAACACATATGTCAGAACCACTACTCTTGGACATGACGACAATCAAGTTCAACGTAACTGGACTTAGCAGATAGCTTAATCCAAGACACGTGAAATTTGTAGCCAGACAAATCCAAGGAACACATGGACTTGGCAACCACGAAACACATTAACTTGGTTGGCGACCACCTTAACAGGACCAGGACTTGGTAGAGGGCCAAGTCCACATGATACCTGGACTTGGCAGGTGCTCAAGTCCATAGGACATGTGGACTTGACATGTAATCAAATCTAAGGGAACATGGATAATATTTAACTCGTGCATTCAAATTTTTATATTTTTTAATATTTAAAAAAATTATGCTTTTTTTAATAAGAATAATAGTTTTTTAAAATCTAATAATAATAATAATATTAAACTCACCTTACCAAGTTCTTATAATTTTTAATCCCTTGAAATCAAATTTATAGTTTTTCTTCAAAAGCAATAATATTTTTTTCAAATTTATTAATAATAATAATTCATTTTACCCTTCTAATCAATTCTATGTTTTTTTTCCCATATTGATAATAATTTTTTTCAAATTTATAAATTTTTTTATTAATAATATTAGTTATAATAAAAATAATAATAATAATACGTTTTATATTAATATTATTAATTAGAGTAAAAATAATAATATTAATAACACAAATAATAATATTTTTAATATTAACAATATTAATTATAATAATAATAACAATAACAATAACAATAACAATATTTTTTATATAAATAATAATATTTTTAATATTTACAATACAATAATATTCGGTCCAGCTACTCAACCAGATTCAAGATCGATGGTTTTGCAAGGCAGTCAGACCCAAACCCTTTTGAAGTGTTGTTGGGTTTGGTGGGTTAGAAGAGATCCAAGCGCACAGAGCTGCAAACCACAAGCTCCTGGATCGACAAAACACAAGCATGCAGGCTTATGGGTCAAGCCTCAAAACCAAAAGAATTGGGTTTTACTGCAGACCCATTAGCTTTGGGTCATGATGCCAAACCCAAGAGAATTGGGTTATGGTGCAACACCAAAGATATCTAAGTCTAGCGTTTATAACTACCTTTCTTGAGTCTGGCCTTGTAGATAGACCCATCCAACCTAAGAGAAATGGGTACGGACACAAAACTCATTACATTTAGGTCTGGAAGATAGAGCCATTACATTTAGGTCTAGACGATGGACCCATCATATATGGGTTCGAACAATGGATACGTGGACTTGGCAGGCTACTAAGGCTAGGTGCACTGGACTTGGCTAGGGATGAAGTCCAGGAGGATACATAGACTTGCTAATGAACCTTGGCATGAGTGAAAAGAGACTCGCGCGGGCAGGTTTGCACCTAGCATGTGGGTCAGCAGACCCCAGGCATGCGATTCTGCAGCCCACTTGCGCTGGTTTACTCCCACCGCCCTGAAATGTAGCCCTTACACGTGGGTTTGCAGACCTTAAGGTGCGGACATGCAGACTCGCGCCGAGTGTTTGCAGCCCAAGGTCACGACCAGGCGTGCATGTCTGGCCTAATGCCCACAGCTTGGCAACCCTACCGTCAGGTGTTTGTATTCAT